ATATGTCGAGGCAGATTGTGTTCATAAGTTTGAGGGATTCGGGGGAAAACAATTATTTTTCTTTAGAGACATCCGGGGACATTATCTTGGCCTTAGTACTACAGGACTTAGTAAAGAAATAAAAGCACAAGCCACCCGGGTCAAGTGGAATATTCATCTCATTCACCAGGCTGGCAATGCAGCGCAACAGTTAGTATCAAAGGGTTGATAAAAAAACTATAATATCCTCAGTTTGAAGTACACTGTACCGTGCATGTATGTACATGTCAAGACATTTCTTTTCTAGAATCAGCTACGAGTTTTAAATGGCAGTCAGTAACTGAATGCACTGCTCATGCAAGTCATGTATAATGTGTACTGGGAGACAGAAAAGAGTATTGCTCTTTACAGGCTGGGGCATATCCGATTAATTATCCATGTTATACTGACTACTGAGATGAGGCGAGATAATGTTTTTACTTTTTAGAACAGTAGGTAGTATCAAAGCATCCCTTCGAGGCTGTTCAAATCAAGGGTGTGACCAGGCAGTCACGATGTGCATGTTCGGGGTGGGGACAATAACCTAATGTAACATCCACAGCTGTCATCGGCATGTTGGTGCTATGCTCGGTGTGATGTTTCCTCCACGGATCATAGCTGCCCAGCACAGTATCGCAAACCAGTACGCAGTGACGCTTGCTAAAGACCATCACAGTAGGACACATTCGGTAGCTCTTCAATAGCATCATCCACCACAATGGCGCCATCCATCCATTAGTCATACCAAAGCTGATGATGGCATGACGGCATCATCTTATCATCATTTTTGCAGCTACAGAAGACACACATCCTTCACGGACAGTGTGGTGACAATCTCTGAGAATGTTGGTCGTCGGGTTCTATCCTCGTTCCTATTCAAGGACATAGCACAGTGCAGAGAGCAGGAGGACTTCACGAATGCTCTGCTGCACCGTATGCCGGGTACACCCGCCATAGTCATTGCAGACACAGCTCGCACCAGGGATCGAGAGTTAGTGAAGTTGCTGGTGTTTTTTTTCTTGCATTCTCTGGTCATCAGCCTAAAATGTGGGGAAGACTCATGATGCCTGAGTAACGTGGGGTGAATGCAATGCCCCACTGGTCTTTTATGAATACAGTGTAACTGTTACGCTTTCTGACACCAGTGAATACTTACTAAGTTGCAATTTTTTTTAAAAGCTACTTCAGTATAAACAGAGAGAGATTGATTGATTGCAAGGGAAACGAGTTGTTGACAAGTTTTGCCACCTGCAGGCTTAAATTCTGACAGTTGGTCATTGAGGAGATGCAAACGATAATTAAGATATGCATCACTTTAGGGAATGAAATCGGGGAAAGTCTGACGAATAATAAAATTAATATGACTGTCATCACCAGGACTAGACTGTGACCCGGGACCTTTGCTATAGGTCAGTGATGCTCTAACCAATAAGACATAGTGTAGTGGTTATCCAAGCAGAGATCATTCTACATTTTACTTTTCAGTTGTACCCAGAGAGTCGTTAATGGTTATGACCCGCTGCTTATAAGAGACCTCTTGTTTTATTGAGCTCAAAACAGAAAGGGCGATGCTCATCTCATGTCCTTTGCCTCCCAATAGTCCAGTACCGGATGTGTCTCCTTGGGGTGGGAATTGATATTTCTCACCCCTACACGATAGGCTAAGAGGAGACTAAGAGGAGGTAAAGACAATCATTTCACTTACCAGCAGGCCACCATGATACTTCCCAGGCTTGGGGGACAGTAAGATGGTCTTGGTAAGCGATATCCCTCGGTGATCTTCTCAAGAACCTGAGAACACAATGCATACACAGTGGGAATAGAACAATCAGTTGTGATACGGGATGGTGAATAGTGACGGTGCAAGCAAGCACTGGCATCATCAACAGGGAACATTACATCATCAACAGGGAACATTACATCATCAACAGGGAACATTACATCATCAACAGGGAACATTACATCATCAACAGGGAACATTACATCATCAACAGGGAACATTACAGCAATTACACAATCCTGCTGGGCAACACTTTTTCAGTCGAGACAACCAACCCGGCGGCCTTACCAAACACTTCAAATACATTATATCCATACTGACCCAGTGCGGCATTGAACCATATTCTCTCTGGTTAGAGCCACACTAAAGGGTATGCTGCAGCCCCCCCCCCCCCCCCACACACACACCTCTTGGAGGAACTTGTCACCAGTTGTTTGTATAATTGTACAGTATTTGCTTGAAAATGAGTGCTGGGACAGCACTAATTCAGAGGTGGCACACTCACCTTTTGGTCACTCCATGCACCGTATGGGCTCCGTCCGAATGTCCACATCTCATAGAGCACTACGCCGAAACTCCACACATCCGATGCCGATGAGAACAGATGCGATATGAACGTCTGGGAAGCAACATCAAGAACACGACATTGAGAAGTTGGAAATCTAGCACTTTTTGGTGCTTCGACTTTTCCGGTCCCAAAGCTGAAAAATTGCGCGCAATCAGGTGTGTTTGTTTTCTTCATCCTCATACTGAATTGCACTATACACTGTAAGGGTTAAGATCAGTGACATACCTCTGGTGCCATCCACTTTGACGTAGACTGTGGCGTCAGACCAATACTTGATGACAGGTAATAGTCCCGATCAGCCAGGTCACGTGACATGTTGAAGTTACCAATCTGTAACATACATACACACACACACCACATGCGTGCGTGCGCGCGCACACACACATACACACACACACACACACATTTACACACACACACATACACACACACATTTACACACACACATCTATTTACACGGCCAGAGTTTGGAAACTGATTCCTTTGGCTGTACAGTGCCCCAAGGTGCGAACATAAGCGGTTGTTCAAGGCAGGTGGTCTTAGATCAAGGTCCCATACATTTGCAATAGGTAGACGTACCCAAGGCAGCAACAATGGGGATCATAAGACACATACATGATTCGTCATTGATTACATAATGTCCCGTGGTATACCAGGGTAGTGGTTTGTGTTGGGGGAAGTCTGTCTACTGCAGTCGCATAATGTGGGTCTTATGATGAAGGTGCACTGGGACTTGACAAACACATTTCTACAGGGGAAAAGTGTACAGCATTTGTGACCGTGGTGACCAGGCTTACCTTGCAAACATTCTTAGAGTTCACCAGAATGTTACGTGCAGCCAAGTCCTAGTTCACACAAACAATAAGAGTTAGCATTCACCGCTACATATCAGGCTATCACTAAGATTACTTTCTCTCAAAAGACATTTCAATTCTACCCAATTCAAATCGTTTTGAAATGTTGACTGCCTTCATCAAAGCATGTCTGCTGTAGGACGAGTACAAGGCACCCATGCTTCCTGACCTGATCAACTGAGAAGAACAGCACACACATGAAAATTGCCTACCACCACATTGTGCTAGGTACACAATGATGCACATGCTATACCAGGTTATGCATGCTGTTACAGTGCATTATAATTATGTCGGACTCAGTAGACAGTCGGGCCACTATAGGCAGTCAGGTCACTATAGGCAGTCAGGTCACCATAGGCAGTCAGATCACTATAGGCAGTCAGGTCACTATAGGCAGTCAGATCACTATAGGCAGTCAGGTCACTATAGGCAGTCGGGTCACTATAGGCAGTCAGGTCACTATAGGCAGTCGGGTCACTATAGGCAGTCGGGTCACTATAGGCAGTCGGGTCCCTATAGGCAGTCGGGTCCCTATAGGCAGTCGGGTCACTATAGGCAGTCGGGTCACTATAGGCAGTCAGCTCACTATAGGCAGTCGGGTCACTGTAGGCAGCAGGGTCACTATAGGCAGCCGGGTCACTATAGGCAATCGGGTCACTATAGGCAGTCGGCTCACTATAGGCAGTCAGGTCACTATAGACAGTCGGGTCACTATAGGCAGTCGGGAGTCCAGTATGCAGTCAATGTCCTGTAAACAGTCGGATGGATATGACAACGACTGCCTACTGAGTACAATATAATATTATTTAGGAACAATTGCTGCCCAAGCAAGTGTACCCATGCGACGTATAGGTGTATGGCCCCTGGGTGGCATGCAGTGGTGCAGCCATGTGGTTGACATAGCGACTCAGGATTACTCACCCTGTGTACAAATCCTTTACCAGCTAGGTACTCCATAGCGGATGCAATGTTACGTGTCATGTTCAGCAGCATGGTCTTGACATGACGTCGTGGCTTCTCACTGGCACTGAGCACGCAATACAACACACAACACAACACACAATACAAAACACAATGCAACACACAAACATATAGATCAGTCTCTCTTAACCGTGTTGCATGAGAGGGGGAGGGGGGGGGGGGGGGAAGTCTACAGGTAAACCAATACCTTCCTTTCCGTGGTGTTCTTTCATGCCATGTCAAGAATAGGATAACTATTTCTATGTACTGCATTAGCCAGTTCCAGGCACATTCTTTGTTCAATCCACTCTGCCTTACAATAGCATGAACTGTGTTGATACCCACAGTCGGTCATGTAACTCCACAGAAAACATTACATAGGCTTAGCAGAACTTGACGCAAACATCTTGATTGACCGACGGAATGCAGGCTAGCATTGTCTAGTAGGTACGAGTACTTGAGTCACAATCAGTATTGCTTTCAAACATAAACTAAAGGGCTAGTACAGTATAGTATGCATTTTACTTACTTTGGCATCATTGTGGCTAACACAGTATTCAGCACTCCTTTGTCCATGAACTCCCATATCAGCATCATCTATGAAAAAAGGTATGCCGAGCAAAATGCCAGTGCCGGGTCAAACATAAGCATTGTACCTGTTGAGGATGGAACTAATTCATTACATCCAACCGAAACAGTAGTGCAGGTTGTGACATATGTGACTGATCACTGTTCAGCTGCTCACAGTCATGTAATGGCTGACACATACACACTGAGAGTAATACAGTGCGGATCGGACTCACTGCCTTACACCATGCGACTCCAACCACTACTACCACTACATGTAGGCCTGTTGGAGTTCCCACGTTGTAATGAGCATGACGTATGGGAATTCCCCTCCCCAACCCCTGCACTGCATGCATGCATGCACTACCAACACGCAGCACCAGCATGCACTGCCAAATTCCACTAGGCTAGCAACACGCACTATCAACATGCACATCATTTAGATATAATAGCTATCACATCCATGGCTTAGAAACATTGTCTGCATAACATCACATGTCCCAACAGTAAGTTTCTTACAGAGGGACCTTGGAGTACAAGTCCTTGTAGCCGTATTATGTTCTCATGGTGGAACTGCCCCATGATGACACCTTCCTGCAGTAGCTTTGTCTTGAGCTCCTGCGACGAACCACTGCTGACAGTCTTGGCTACAACTTGTCTGCTTGTATCGCCCTGTTTCCACTCCGCTCGATGTATGTTTCCAAAGTGACTACACAAGCACCAGATCACAACACGAGCAACACGATCAAGCAATGCCAGAACAGTAAAGCAAGACAATGCTGATTGTATTCTATCTCCGGGCTGCTACCTATTTCATCCTTCTTAGGTCTCATCAGCAGAGCTCAGAGTCACTGCATTGCCAAACCGATCTACTGGAGTCACTTTATAGGTTAGTCACCAATCAAGCACCATTATTGTTCCTTGAGCCTATGACTTGAGCTAGTAGTTATGATGATGAAAGGATGAAACCTATCACATACAATGCACATGATGGCCGCAAGAGAAAGACTGATGCAGTCACGCTAATACATCATCATGGAACATGCCGTCCACTCACCTGTAGCGCAGCTGATCCAAGAGGCGAATGTCATCCGCTGGAATTTGGCGACACTGCTGCTTGGCCAGTCTATCATAGATTGCTGGTTCAGTGTCCGGTGGCTCTTCATAGAGCTTGGCTTGCAGTGCTGGGTCTGGCTCCTACAAGACACAATACATGACAAGCAAGTTAATGGTAACACCAATATCACCTGGTTCGATTTGAAAGTACAGTAAAACCTGTAACTAAAGACCGGCACCGTGACTAGCGACCAGCCTGCTACTACAGTAAAACCTGTAACTAAAGACCACCGTGACTAGCGACCAGCCTGGTACTACAGTAAAACCTGTAACTAAAGACCACCGTGACTAGCGACCAGCCTGGTACTACAGTAAAACCTGTAACTAAAGACCACCGTGACTAGCGACCAGCCTGGTACTACAGTAAAACCTGTAACTAAAGACCACCGTGACTAGCGACCAGCCTGCTACTACAGTAAAACCTGTAACTAAAGACCACCGTGACTAGCGACCAGCCTGGTACTACAGTAAAACCTGTAACTAAAGACCACCGTGACTAGCGACCAGCCTGCTACTGCAGACCACCGCGCCAGGCACGGACGGTCTCACATTCACATATGGTTGTGCAGTGCAAACCTCTAACTAAGGACCACCTGCCACTAAAGACCGCTTTCTCTGGCCCCAAGGGGTGGTCGTTAATCACAGGCTTTACTGTAGATGAATCTCACATACGGTCATCTCCGTATCACCGTCATCCACATTCCCATCTTATGCACACCACCATTGCAACAGACAAAGTGCAGTTTGAATATAGCAAGTGTAAAGATATGCATGAGAGTCAATCAGACAGGCTCTTCCTTATCAGTAGGAATTTCACCACTTGAAAGGATCAAGTTGTCTGCTGCAGACCCTAAAGCGATAGGAGGTGAGTAAATCAGACCCCAGGCCCATTGCAAAGTGTCCGAAAGCAGAAATGACCCTTCCTACGGTGTAGATTGAACTCCCCCGTCATCAATGGAGGCTGTGATGTTCGAATGCTGTGCAGTCATGGTCAACGCACACCGCCTGTCTCCTACCTTGGGATTGAAACTCAAGTGTGAATAGGATGCCAGTGTTGAGGACTTGTCTGAATGCTTCCCAGTGAACTCATCCTAGATATAATGAGGAGAGAAGAAAGAGAAAGAGAGTGATAGAGGAGGGAGAGAAGGAGGGCCGGAGATGAGGGAGAGAGAGAGAGGAAGAGATGAGGAAGAGACAGAGGAAGAGAGGATGGAAAGACAGATCGAGAGAGACATTCCTGGCACAATGAAAAAAGGGTATCCATTCAATGATGCCATCAAGCAGACTGCAAGTCATCTGCCGTCAATTTGTTGGTAATGTATCCATCTCTGAGTGCATACTCTTACCATTACTGAGCTATAAAGTAAGTTACTTGTGCCATTTTACAATGCATGAATACAGTATGCACAAATGTCGATTCAGCTTGTGTCAGTCTTAGTATCAGTGTCGGATTGCGGGATAAAGGGTGTGCTGGTGCAATTATCCGGCTTTCAAACTGGTCAATGTACAGTCAACTTCGCTATTAACGACTGCGGATATAACGACAATTCGCGAATAACGACAGAATGTCCATGCCCAGAGCAAAGTTCCATCCAACTGTAATACATATAATGAGACTTCGGGTGTAACGACACTTCGCGAATAAGGACACTTTCTTGATGCCCCGCCGAATGTCGTTATAAACGAAGTTGACTGTATACATTGAGCCAAGTTTGCCTACAGGCGCCACTACGAGTACCATGGATGGTGACACATCAGGGCCGGCGGAGCCGCTCCGGTCGGTCCGGCCATGGCCGGACCAACTTTTCGGCCACCGACGATTTTTTTACGACACAGTAACGTTATGATTGTTGTGATCATCGATTGCATATACGCGTACTTGCGATCTCGCTCTGATCTTGCCGTGCACGCGTGCGCGCTTGAGGGCTAGCTATGGCCTAGCGCCTGTGGGCCTGTGGCGCGAGTCGCGCGACCTGAAAGCACGTGCCATGATGGATACTTCGCTGGAAGAAGCCATAGCTGCTAAGCATGCACTGCAGCTAAACTGACCAAACAGTGAGACAAATTTGAAAAAAACTACTTCGTTCAGTAAAAGAATGTGAAGCACTCGACGAAAAACCCTCAAGTACTTACTGAACGAAGTAGTTTTTTAAATTTGTCTCGCTGTTTGGTCAGCTTAGCTGCAGTGCATGCTTAGCAGCTATGGCTTCTTCCAGCGAAGTATCTGTGCCAGAAGTGCCAGTCCACCCAACTACTTCCTTCGCGTTTCCTCGGCGGGAATTTGGGAAAAAGGCAGTGGTGAAGCGCTCTTGTCAGGCGTCATACATGTATTTCAAGACATGGTCTTGGTTGACCTATGATGAGCAAAGAGACGTTGTGTTGTCACATGTCACATGTGCGCAAGTGCTGTGCTGGCGAAAAAACTTGGCCGGACCAATCAACAATTGCTTCCGCCGGGCCTGCACATGTGTATTTACATCTATACACATACACAGCTCAATCGGAACCGAACTGATTGACTGTATTCAGTTTATCCCATCTTTGGGAAGAGAAAGTAGGAGCGGCGTGTCACCAACCCAATGTCATACACACTGTACTGCTGCTACACAGTCAAATAGGAAGTCACAGGCATATACGGATACATGTGTGGCAGTGACATACCGGCTGTGCATACACTGCAGGAGGTGCTGGTGAATACGCAGGTACTGGGGAGTATGCTGGTAAAGGCGCTGGTGAACGAGCTGCTGGTGAGCGTGCTGCTGCTGCAGATGGTGAATTGGCTGATTGCACTTCATACATGACATTGGATACAGCAAGTGCAGCACCCTGCGTCGACACACAGAAATAGATCAAAGACGTTTGCCTGATCTCTTTGCACATGAACTACACCAATTCCCGGACAACATTTAGATTTTCCAGCACAGTCAGAAGTTTAGTTTCTACTGCAGTTTAGAAATAACTACTCCAGCCTGGGGACAAACACCAGGCGATGAGTGTATAAAACTAACGACCATCAAAACCGGACATTGGTGCACGTGCATTGCACTCACATTGTTCGGTGCCCCTCCAGGGAATGCCTGGAAGCTGGTACGTTTAGTGGGGTCGTTGTATAGCGGTTCCTCGTCGGCATCCGGGAACGCATCCTTGCTTGTTGTAGACTGATCTACATCATCAATCTTTGTCAACACCTCAGCACTGGACACACAGTGAAGCTTCTAGCACAAATGCAGAACGCAGAGCGCACAAGGAAACACAATCGGGTCAAATACAGCAGCTCTAAAGGCTACCTGCACAGTGCTAAGCAGACACAAGTGCCGCAGCATGCAGCAGCCTTACCGGCATGCTGTTCTAGCTAGCTGGTGGTAGGCTAGTAGCAACCAGGTACTGAGCAGCAGAGTCGAGCATACTGTAACTGTGTGGCGTTTTCTTCAAGTCATTCAGGGTGCAGAACACAGCCACCATGTAGTAACTTACACACAAACATTACTTGGGAGTAGTACCGTGGACTGGACTGAACAACTTCAAGTTATCCCATTGGAAAACAACAGAAAAGAATACCTTAACTTAAACAGCCCATCTCCTTGAGTCCGTTACCTCAGGTACGGCCAACTAACTACTGTGACTTGTGTAACACTGCAAACTAACTTACCATATTGACTGATGTACTCTTGCTTTCTACCTTGCCCGGTGGGAAGGAATGTCTCATCATACCCTGCATGACACATGCGTACATAGCACGCATACATCTCATGGTATAGGAGCTGTTTACATACACATACATGTAGCAGCAATTACAATGTACTAGTATCCCCCGGTAGCAAAACGAGGAAGATATAGCCGTAAAGCTGGTTCAGTCATGCAGTGCACTGTGTGTGTTGGCACTGCTACTGGCATCGGCACTATGTTGTGAGCATAGGCGTTCAGCCGGACACTCAAACTGTGGTAATCATTGTAAGAAACACTTTAGAAACCTGCATGACACTTCAGTCGTACTTGTACATGGATGCTTACCTCAGAAGCAAATGCAGCATACGGAGCGATTGCATTCTGGACACAATACAGCGAAACAGGTCCACGGGCATACCATTATGCATTCGAGTAAAGAGTCTAAAGACCTTCTTGTAAGCCAGTGCATGCATCATAAGTCTTTATGATACCATTGTACCATCCACTTAACCTGCTGCTGGGTGCATGACACCAGCACAAAAAGCATTCACAAAGGCAACGACTATTGCATCACGCCCCACTGCCTCTACGTAAGGCCATCATTTTTTATATCTATGTTTCGCGTCAGTTCAACTTCCAGAATCATATGCGAGAGGTGGAAAAAATAAAAAGTTGCAAAATAATAAAAAAGGCTCATCATGATCATCATCGATGTGTATGCACTGTACATAGCACAATAGCTCGTGCATGGTGTACATTCGAAAGAAAAATCGTACATCGAAGCACAACATCTGGGTTATCAGCATGAGTAAATATTCACTTTGGACAGAGGAGGCAACCGCTGGTCATGGTGCTTCGCTGGAATATTGTACTCAGACTTCAGCAGCGGTGCAAAGAGCTCCGGAACGACGCATCCTCTCAGCTTAGGCGATCAATGCGGTCTGGTGTAAGCTCATAGAATATTGCTCCCAGATGCCGAACAAACGATTTACCAACGCTGGCCTAGGCTAGAGGCCATTTCTGAATCCCAGCTTCGCCGTATGCAACCTGTCCACACTGATGACTCGCACGATCGTACACTCAGTGTGCATGTTCGATTTTTTATTTTTGTCCGAAAAAAATCAAAACGTATGCGTGCGGACGACGCGAAACATAGCTATAAAAAATGATGGCCTAACACCTTTAAAAAAAGTGCTAGACGGAATGTGCATAGAGTTTGAATGGCAATACTGGATTACGCATTGGTGATTGCCTGTCTTATCATACTACATGTACTGCATATCACCATCACATCATGCACACCTGCCTTACATGTACTGCATATCACCATCACATCATGCACGCTGCCTGCCTTACTTCTTCCGGCGTAGGGCCAGTCTCACAGTATCGCCATGCAGCAGAAGTCTTTTCAGGCAAAGCAGGTAATGCGGGCAGTGCTGCCGGCTTCTGTTGTCTGATGGGTGTGCTTGATGACAGTCCACCATCAACCTTGAGGCAACCAAGGGAAAGATTGCAAAGAGAAATTTGCCTCGCAGACTATAGACAAATGACCTTCCGTTAACCCTTTGAGGACGAAGGACGAATATATCCGTTTTTTTAAGGTATAGCTGGATTCCTAAAGACGAGTACTGTAAATATACACACTTTCGGCGCTGCAAAATTTCGGCACTTCACGATTTTTGACATTTCGGCGGCGATTTATTTTCGGCGTGGGTAGAGGGCATGGTTTAGTGCGAGAGATGCTGTGAAAAATTTCATCGGCGTTTTAATTTAGGCGTTTTGGGTCGGTGCCGAATATAGCCGAAATTAATAGCTGCCGAAAATTTGTATATTTACAGTATATCCGTTTTTGAGATAATTGCGATATTGATTATATTTTTAGGTGCTTGAAGTCGCTCATATGTTGCTCAGACGAGTACGATCTGATTCTTTGTCAAGGTGAGACATGTCGCAGTCGATCCGGGTCGGTCCTGTGGAGAACCGGCCACATTTGAGTATACTTAGAGAATTCGCCGATCGAGAAATTATTTGGAATTTGAAACTAACTTGTTACTTTGTTGAGAGTGCCGATGGCACGTAACCTGTCAAGTGTCTCCTTGTCTGAGGCCCTCGGCATTATCTTTATGAGCAGCGATAGTGAGGATGAACAGTGTGATCCATTTTTGTTGCCCACTGATGTCGATGTCTCTTTAAAATCAAACTTTAGGACACAATATCAATTTTTGAAAATCCCGATTTTTGGAGAAAATCGCAACATACACCTATTTTGAATTGACCATTCTGACCTCTATAATGGATATAATTATGATGTAGAAACTTTGGTTTTTGTTGCCTACTGATGTCTATGTCTCTTTAGAACCAAATTTATGACACTAGATCAATTTTTGAAAATACAGATTTTTCGCCTGAAAATGGTAGGAATCCAGGTGGTTTTGGGTAGTCCTCAAACGTCATCATCACATTCACACACCACAGGCAAGTACAGCAGGCACAGTAAATTCGGAGGCTCAGGGGAGTGTCACCCGAGAGCAGTCTGATTGCGGCAACAATGGCCTCGCCTTGAAAAAGTGCCATGGTCAGCCAACCTTGCACGGGATTATCGTTCTTTTGGAGATTCACTGTACACGTTGTTTTCCTTTATTCTCACGGTCACCATTGCCGTGATACGATAATATGGAGAACAGAAACCTGTACACACATAGAATAAGCTATCTTCAGCAAAATATAGTAGATAAAAAGCTTTAAAACCGTTCACGCCTTTCATCTACAAGATTCTGTGCCACCCACCATCATCCATCACTCCTGGTTTTAACCGGCGCTACCAGCAGAACTGTGCCCCTACCCAGCATTTCACTTTCAATAGCTTCCACGGTCCTACCATAAACTTGAAATCCATGTGTTTCACCAAGGATAGGGCAAGTGTAGCATTCTCCCACTCGCAGACACGTGACCTGTTTGTCTATTGCAAAAGCTAAATCAGAAGCCTTGAGAGAAGTAGAGCTGGTAAAATAATACTCTTGGCTTACCTCATCATAACCTTGTGACACATTGTCATCCTCTACATCATCCTACACAGTGTCAAAGTGAACGCAATATGGAGGACAACATTGGAGGCTACCCACCTACCAAGATAAAATTTCATCACATATGCACTTGTCCATCATTAATCGGCATGTTGTAGACTGATATTGAAAACCCACAGCATGTCAGTTCATACAGAGAGAAAATAGTGCCGGAAAATAGTGCTTAGGATTTCCCTGGGAGATGGTGCTAACTCTCACTCACGTCACAGGCACTCGATGGTAACATGCTAGTACTTTTGCTGAGGAAATGCTTCCATAGCCTGGTACAATGGTTCATTGCAGTGCCAATGTTGAATGTGTGTGTGTGTGTGTGTGTGCGCACGTGCGTGCGTGCGTGCGTGCATGACAGTGAGGGGTACTTTTTTTACGCCATGAGCCGAATGATATTGCCCAACCAGGAACTGTGTTGTTTGCACCTAAAACCTATCTGCTCTGCACTGTACGGATTTGTTTTGTAGTTTCTGAAGTGATGAAAGTAGTGCTGGGGCGGTACGACTTTTTCCGGAACATTTTGACTGCATTTTTGAGTTTATCGGCTAGGTGAAGATGAAATTCAAAAATGCTTTTCGGTGAATCTCTGGAGGATAGCCTTCTCTAGCTTCCTATAGTTCTATTTTTAATTTTGGAGAAAATTTGAAAACATTTTATGAAAGGTCCGTGTTATTTTTCCACGGACCTTTCATAAAACTTTTTCAAATTTTGTCCAAAAGTAAAATAAAGCTATGAGGCTAGCCTCGGAGAAGGCTCTTCTCCAGATTCACTGAAAACATTTTCGAATTTCATCTCCACCTTGCCGATAAACTGGAAAGTGCAGTCAAAATGCAGTAAAAATGTAGTCAAAATGACCCCTGAAAACGGTTGTACCGCCCCAGCCACCTTTTGATTAGAGGGTCAGCTGCCGTATTGTACATGTCATTTGGTGACCAGGGTGTAATCCATAGCACTGGATTCACCACTGCAAGGAGCAAAAATTACAACAATATTCCTAGAGATAACCCCATCATTCCAGTTCTAATCCTACCTCGAAGTAATTGGAAAAGAATTCTAACTAAGCCAAAAAACAAGTGGATGAATTCTACCGTTACTCATAATAATTATTATGTGCTGTTTTCTTGGAGTCATGGAAACTCCCCGGATCCAGGCAGCTTAGAGCCAAAGGGCACCTGATTGGAAAGCATGTTTGATGATCAGTTACCACTTGGTATGGTTGTGATTAACCACATCTCAATATTTTGGTGATACGAAGGTATTCAGCGGCATACGGTAAGTCTACACAATTTTGGCCCATTCACATTTCGGCCTCTCAGGGCTAGACTGCGTGACACATTACGGCCGCATTACATTTTTGGCCTGTACTACTGCTGCCTGTATACACTGTCACACTGAACCTTGCAAAACAAAATTTCGTCCCAAATATACCAAGGCCGAAAATGAATATGCGCCAAACATTTGTTGACTTACAGTATGTAAATAAATTTGCCACAAAAGGTTGACTACATGAGCCACCACTTTACTGAAGATGCCCGGATGTATCCCACTGGCATTGTTCTGCCTCCCTTCATCACAGATTCTCTCAATGTCCCAGTAGTGAAATCCTACTCAGACCCGGAGCCAGCTCATGAGGGGTGGTACGGCCCCAGGTTGACTACAGGGTCGATGAAGAAGACCCCCAAGTGATACCGGCATAGATCTAGACGTATCCCACCAGCTGTGAGGTGATGACGTCAGTACAGTATCCTACCAGCTGTGAGGTGATGACGTCAGTACAGTTTCACTTGTGGGCCATTACTTCAATATTCCATTTAACACGTACTAAAAGTGGATTATCTTGGTCACTACTTTGACGGACTGCGTTTTGACCTTTAACCTTTGACCTTTGACCTCCTTGCTGGGCATGGTTTGCATCAGGAAACACTGCATGCAAACACACTCCCTAAGATGGGCTATCTCTATGGTTACAGCGACGTGGCATGTCTCCAGGGTTAGAGTGGTGTGGCATGCGGTGGATCGTCACTGCATAAGGAAACTCATTTGTCTCATGCAACATGCGTGCAAACAAATTATTTGTTACTTGACAGTTGCACCCATACTACAGTTGTGGCCAAAGAAATCCAACCCACGAGTAACAAACGACAACAGCTAGCGCCGCGGTTCCATCTCAATTACATCATGGACGTTGAAAAAACAAACAATTCGAGGGCCACAGGGGTCGAATGAGCCTTGGTGCTGCTCTTGGCACGTGGGTTGGATTTCTTTGACCGCGGCTATCCACGACCAACACAGTAGTAGTGCATGCTATGGGTTCAAGCATACACTACTGCTGAGTACTGTATGCACCGGGCCACGTGCTCTCGGGCTGTATAATTATGTAGCCATGCATCGGTGCATGTGTGAACCACCCGCTGGCCCTAAACATACACACCTCCACCGGCACAGGCATCAGCTACCCTTGTACAAGGGCACTGCCTCATACCTACATGACTGTAATTGTACTTTCTAGTTCGCACGTCCAGGGTTTTTGAAACTACCGGGTTTCTAGTGAGGAGGATACTCAAGGAGGATTTTGTGTCTTCACACCATCTCAATAATATAATAATTTATATACTCAATCTGCGGACAGCATGCTGTTTCGTTCTTAATAATTTATATAAAATTGTGGATACAGGCCTGCAATGGCTGCATGAAGTTGAAAACTCCACTGCAGCTTTACTTATGGTTGATTCAGATGGTGGTAAATTCACACCTGGCAATAAGGCGGTAAATACACGCCTGTCCACACACACTCTCTGCGCTATCTGACGTACCAGCCTGCCATGTCGGATACCACAAACCATGCATCGACTAGGCGCCATGCGCGAACTTATGGTGGCGGTGGTGAGAAGGAGAGCTCTGTGCAAGAGTGACTTGCAGCTTAGAGTCGGAGAGTGTGTGGGCAGGCGAGTATTTACCGCCATATTGCCAGGTGTGTATTTACCACCATTATAAATTAACCACGAGTCAGGCCAACATTTGCCGATATTATTTTGCTAACAAAATCCAACTATCAACATGACCTGAGCTCAAGAGGGTTTTACCCCTTGCCCTGGGAGTTGGTGGAAGGGGGGGGGGGGGATTTCAAGTCTGTCCTGGTAGTCCCTGGTGTTTGTTCCTTTGCATTTAGTCTACATCAGCCATCTGCTAACTTACACTCTTAACTACACGGTGTAGTGCACCTGACCATGGCATTGATTGTGAGTGCTAGTGTTGTAACAGAAGCATGAATGAACATACCTATGTCTGATTCAATGAATGCAGTGTGCTGTTGGCCTGTTTGTGTAGCATGTATGCAGCATGTGCTGTCTGATGTACATTTCCTCCTGTGCATGATCAAAGAGCACAGGATCCTAGGACTACCTGACTACCTGAGCCTGAGTACTTGACACTTGACTGACCAGGACAAGACTAGCTATCAATACCAAGATGGTGGCAATCAGCAGCACTATGAACCCTCCTGCACTACAGTCTTACAGGGCATTGCCTTTGGCTTTGGTAATGACAACAGGTCATGCTGCTTCCATCCATTGGATGGAAGCCAGACCAATCTACAATATCACAGGCCACATGGCACAAAGCACAGGGCATGGGGCTGGGGATGGGGATAAGCAGCTAGAGAATGGACCTGTACCCTGACCACACTACTGTGAAGTATTGCTAAAAGCATCAGTCAGCAGCCAGTCAGCCTGAGTCATGGCTGTATTGCTGAACCCAGAGTCAGGCAGGCTCAAGTACTAGTCCAAACCCATTCAGCATTGATCACACACAGAACTGAGAGAATGTAACCAACCAGCATGCATGCGCACACACACATGCACATTCATCAACCACAAAGCACACAGTATCCATAAGCACAGGCATAAAGCATTGCGATTTTCATGGGGCATAGCAATTCATCAGCCATGCAATGTAGCTCAACTCATTGTGAGGTGCAGAGCAGTGCAGTGTAAGGTGTGGTATGTGAAAACATTCATCAGTGCATAGAAGGTATATGTATCTGGGCTCAACTCTAAAATTGCGTATTGAATCATTCTGTATACGTGTAGCAGTGGCTGATGCAGGGCATAGCAATGGAGGCAGACTTAGAACAGTTTCGGATCATCGTGAGGAGGTATTTGTCAGTTTTAGTCGTTGTCGTAGTAAGCCGGCTACATGGAGCTAGTGCTAGTGCCAGTGGTAGACAGCCTGGGTAGCTATGGAGAGGGTTGAGTATACCGTATTGCTATGATCACTATTATGATCTCTCAGCCATGATTGGAAGTTTGACTGAGTAGGACTGGGCTGCATTCTATTGCAACTGCTGCTTTTACACACACATATCTGCACTGATGGCAGCTTGACCAGTTCTTACTTACAGACGCCTGGAAAACACTATAGTAACACCTTTACACACAACCAGGTCGGTGGTTAATCTCCTCACTGAGCCAATATCAAACATCAATACTAGTATAGACAGGTGGTCTAGTGTCTATGCGCTAGCTTCATTGGCAGGTGGTCTAGTGTCTATGCGCTAGCTTCATTGACATGTGTGCTTACAACTGCAGTGCTCTCTCCGTATGTTGGGTTGTCTGCAAACAAAGCAGTGGTAACACACGTACACGCACACGTACACACGTACACACGTACACACACACACACACACACACACACACACACACACACACACACACACACACACACACACACACACACACACACACACATGGAAACACGGACACATGGACACATGTACCACATATGCACACATACAAACACACCATGTACACACACACACACACACACACACACACACATACACACATGTACACACCCTGGAAATATCACTGCATGTGCATACAACGGCATCATTGCAAGGTCTTGAGCCAAACCGTAGCTCTTAAAACAGCCGGCAAAGTGCTCTTCTTTATCAGGCTGTTTCTGGACATGGTCCTTATTTATCTCCGACTCCCCAGCTCTCGGGCATGTCTCAGTGACATGCGGTCATGGGAATGAAGTGCAATGTTTGCGTAAGCTGGATTGAGAATATCTGACATAATCCCTGCAGACTAAGATCATTCGACTGAGCACCCTGACCTCCAATGCGGACACTGAAGTCTATTGCCATCTTTTATAGGGGGTAAGCCCCCTAGGAATCTCTTACTGTAGTTCCGCGCATACAATGTATTAGTCCATGGGCTTATGTGCGAAACAATGCAGTTTGGGGATAAAAATAATATCCAGTAAAACATGTTCGTTTTTTAGCCCATGGGCCAATATTCGAATTTTGAAGGTTCACGAAAAAGTACAAGTCCGTGCTCATAGTGGGTCTACCATACTCAACTGGTAAACTGCACTGACCTGCTGTAGCATGGCAGGAAGAGTCCACATTGTGAAAAATTCTTGTTGACACGCGAGTTGCATTTGTGTCTGTTTATAAGCCCATGGGCTTATAAACGGAGGTGGGCTTATATCCGGATATAGGCCCATGGGCTTATATCCGGATATAGGCCCGTGGGCTTATATGCGCGGAATTACGGTATTGGGGGCAAGCTCTCCTAGGAATCTATTTTTTTGCGGAGGGGGAGCTCCCCTAGGAATCTATTAGGGGGGGGGGGGGAGGCTCCCCCTAGGAATCCATTATTGGGGGCAAGCTCCCCTAGGACTATTGTTGAGGGCAAGCTCTTCTTGGAATGTATGGTTGGGGGCAAGCTTCCCTAGGAAGCACGTTAGAAGTGGATGGGCAGATAACAAAGGCAACCACTATCTGATCAGGATATAATTTAAGGAGTACAATGAACCTGGGAAGGCTTTTACAGTCCAATGAATCGGGGAGGAGGAGGAGGGGGGGGGGGTCAGTCCAGGGAATGGGAGAGGGGGTCGTTGATGTTACCTGTTCCTCCATTGCCAGCCTTCTTCTTCTTCCACTGCTTGACGATGATAACGACGAGAACAACGATAAGAAGAAGTCCGACAATGCCACATACTACACCGATGATGATAGGTACGTTGTCAGTATCATCTGTTTGCGGGTCAGCACCAGCTGTACAGATAGGCCAGACAAGACAACCCACAAGCACCAGCGAATCAGATTAGAGGGAATTGTTAAAGAGCTGATTCACAGTGCAATGCCAAGGCATGGCATATCCATCACAAGTTTAGCTGAAAAACAGAATTTGGGTAGCATGTGTGTGTTGTTCGGGGGGGGGGGGGGGCAGGTGTTCCTACATATCCCAAGAACAGTCATATTATGAGAGGTCAAAGGGATATTCCAGGTAACCACCTGTTGGCCAGCTGTAAACCATGAGCTTAACATAGGAGACGAATACCCGTTTTGAGTTTGAGCACCCACTGGCAGCTGTACCACAGCACTGGCAATGACGGGAGTTAACCCCCGGTTAGTTGCACATCTAGTGTGTGCGCATGTAGTGAGCACAGTTATCGACACGGAGCCAGAATGGCTGACCAATGGACTAGTACTGATGTGTGACTAGCAGCTCAGAGCCAAGAGCACTCGATTCTATACGCTCTTGATGGCTAGTAACGATGGCTACTAAAGGTTACCCTTTTACCCTGGCAAGGAAAAAATACCCGTTCGTTAGTTGAAGGTACACCTGTTTGCCGTCCAGAGAGCATTACCGTACACACGTATATATACTATGTGCACGGAATTATCAGTACTTAGTACATTCGCGGAGAAGCACTACTTACTGACAGAAAGCTGCACAGTGGACATGGCTGTCTGTCGGCCTTGCAGACCCACAGTAGAATCCACAACTCTGCATGTGTACTGGCCAGCGTCAGCTGTTAATATGGAACTGAAGGATAGGGTGAGGACGGCACCAGCACGGGTGAGTGTAATGCGCTCTTCCTGGTCCTGTAGAGCTTGCCCATCACGCTCCCAGGTGATGCTGGCATCGGCAGGGGTCTCGCCACTTGCCGTACACTGGATTTCCACCTCTCCGCCCGCTTCAACTATCACAGAGTCTTCGCGAGAAAGACTTGCACTAGCAGCGGCTGAGCACAAAGGATAGGCACAGGAGAAGTGCTTAGACACCGCAGAAGCTGATGCTCTGAAGCATGACAACTGCTACGTACAATCACAGACTACTAAAAGCCGTTTTCTGTTTCTGCACCCAGTGTTTTTTTTCTGTAACGAGCACTTTGGATTACTAGTGCTTACAAACTACTATGCAAGTTGCATTGGATGGGAAATGAAAAATTTCCAACCTGATTGACTAATGCCTTGAGCAGGGCAAGAACTTCATCTTTCGGTAAACTCCAACATACAGACTCGCATTACGCATAGGGAACATTTTTGCCAACCAGCTTGCATACTCTCAAACCATGCTTTTGCGCAGAACAACAGATCGGATTCACAGTTGTATTGTGGTGTTCGACACCCACGGAAAATACCTTCTCTCAGAATGTCTTACCCTGTGCAGTCAGCTCTACGGTGGCTGTGTGTGAGTAGGCTGGTAGGGTATCAACAGGTTGACCACTCACACTGCACTCATACGTTCCGGAGTTGATTCTCTCAACACTGGTGAACGTCAGATTCTGCTCTGTTCCGAGAACGTCCTCGCTGCCTCCCATCGTCCATGTAAAGTTGTCCGGCTGATCTCCTGTCACACTGCACTGCAGCGTGTATGCTTCATCAATGATGGCATACACTACTTCAGCAGGGAATGTCACCTGCGGAGTGACTGCACATGACAGAACACACACATCCAGTACACAAAGGATTGCTCAGGGACTTTGTTGTATGCAATGTAAACAGTGCACTCACAGCCGCTCAATAAAGATTCTTTCTCACACCTAACATAAACCATAACTAGTGGCAGGGTTGGCTGCAGGCATCCACATTGCAAGACAAAAGGAAAAAAGTCAACAAAAACCGCATCGCAGATGTTCGCAGTTCGAAAAAACAATGCTGTTCGTTTATTTCAAATTTCAGCCAACGAGAAGCGTACACTTGATGTCCGCAACCAGACTGTTGTACCCAAGAGAGAGAGAGAGAGGGAGAGAGAGAGAAGGGGGGGGGGGAGGGAGAGAGAGAGAGAGAGGCCATGCACATGATGTCATGGTGGTGAGTCAGCGGAACTGCTAATGAGCGCTATGTGTACAGCATGAGTCACTAGTGCAACGCTGTGTGTACAGCATGAGTCACTAGTGCAACGCAGTGTGTACAGCATGAGTCACTAGTGCAACGCTGTGTGTACAGCATGAGTCACTAGTGCAACGCTGTGTGTACAGCATGAGTCACTAGTGCAACGCTGTGTGTACAGCATGAGTCACTAGTGCATCGCTGTGCCGCGACTTTGCCAAAGCATCTCAACTGATGCTTTAATCGCGTAACCTCTACAAGTATTCTAGCATAGCTGTGGATAGAATCTTATTAATGTCATCAACGTCCATGTAGCCATTATGTACACTCAGCAGTTGAAGAAAGAGACTAACACTAGACATATTGCACGTAAGAGGGCGGTGCTGATGTGGCATTCCCTTCCCGTGCACCCTCCTGACCTACTCCATGGCTGTGCTTCCTCAAACAACAGCAGAAAAACAATTTAGATGGCCTGATTGGATACTGAAGGCCAGACAGCTCTACTTCACATAACATACTCATACAGGTCCATTTCCTTGAACACACACAGCTCTATTTCGTCTCTCTCACGAATAGGGCACTCATTTTTGTAGTCAACTTACAGAACACATCATAGATGACCAGTGCTGTTATAGTACCGCTGGCTGATTCAATACGAGGATTTGTCACCTCACATTGATATTGACCATCCTGATCAGCACCAACATTGGTGAGGGTGAAGTATGGTTGAGTGGTTTGGACAGTCGTCTGACCATTACTGTTAACCTTAAGCCAACGGTAGGTGACATTGCCTCCACCGAATTCAGTGCAGTTAAAGGACGAACTGGCGCCAGGCACTACAACATATCGATCATTGGTTCTGCTATCACGGTGCACCACAGAGCCTTCCACTCCCACCACAGATGTGTTCACAATAACTGGAGCTGAGAAGCAGAGGAAGAAGAGGATACACTGTGTTTTAATTTAACTTGTTTTATACCAGAAAGCGGTACCTGTGGCATACTGGGTCTGGGATGCTCAGACAGACCATAGTGACATATCGGAAATAATAACATGCTCGTTAGCCCTTGGGAATGTCCCTGATTCTGTCCTAACGTTGATGTACCGTGATTGATATGTTTTCAAGTGAATGCCAATGATTTGGGTAACAGTTAAAGGGATGGCTATAGTACTACCAAGAGTACTTGATCTTAAGCAGAAGCTTGATAAAGTGTGTAAACTGTTCCAGGCTGGCAATGTCCGCACATGGTGTAATTTACCAGATCCACTCATTACTCAGGAAGCATGGAACATGGCTAACGTTACCACCTGTAGCTGAGCTTTACAATTGCAGCTATGATGCCAGTTCAGATATCCTAGACACCAAAATAATGATGCAGATAACTTCCATGGAGGGCAAATGGATCATTTTAAGTACATTCTTGGTTATATACTTTTGCAGCTATTCTTCTATGTCAACAAATGGGGAGTGTGATCCCTCGGCTAACATTGTAAGAAAAGAAGAAGAACAATTTTCGCTGGAGTCCTTTTGAAAACCTTGCCTCCACTGTAGTGGAACATTGTGAGATTTGTAGCAGGAATGCACGAGTACCTGCAATACATGGCATAGTACACACGAGTACCTGCAATACATGGCATAGTACACACGAGTACCTGCAATACATGGCATAGTACACATGCATTTGACACTGGTAGTTAGTAAGTATGATATACTCACGCAGAACGGTAACCATCAGATTGTCCTGTCCACGTGCTGCTGCGCCAGCTCCAGCTGTGTCTAGAAGTGTGTTGACCACTACACACGTATATGTACCAGGCACATGGGTAGCAATAGCATCCGCCATCACCTCAACACCACTAGGCAATGTCCAGGTGTAGTTGAGTAGGGCTGCTGCGTTGCCGATGTTACTTACAAACTCTGAGCAGCGTACTAGGTCGCCAGTAGCGTGAACGCGTGCTGTGGGAAGATCAACTACAGGTGTTTCTGCAAACAAAACAGCATGGAGATGTAAAGTACACATTCAGGGTTGAACAACAAATTACATACACAGGGGGCTCTAGAGCCAGAGCAGCACCGAGATAGCGAGTTACACAGTATAGTGTACAGTATACTAGACCAACTCTTGAAAGATGCTGCTCAGTTAATTATTGACAAACAGTACATGGTTGATATGGTGGTAAAGACACACCTGGCAACATGGCGGTAAACACACACCTGCCCACACACGCTCTCTAAGCTGCAAAGTTCTGGCACAGAGCTCTCCTTCTCACCACCACCACCATCAGTTCGCGCATGGCTTTGCTTACTTTCTATTCGCCAAACTAACAAACATGCAAGTACTCAATTTCTCCAGTCAAACCCATGAAAACTCAGCAGTGAAATGTCAGTGAACTATTTATCAGTGAGATGCATGTCACTCACTATACGACTCGTATGCATTACACTTGATTCATCAGGGGTGAAAACAATTAGTTTGAATAATCGGATATGAGTTCGGAAAATCGGATCGAGTGAATGCTCGAAGATTCACACTCGATTCATTGTGAGTGCATCATAATTTCCTTGGCTGTATACAAGGGAGTCAGTAGTTGACGTGGCAGTAGAACTTACCATAAAGTGTTACAGAGAATGATCCGGTGGCTGGTCGGTTTGTCTCCTCCACCGTGAACGAACATGTGTAGCTGCCTTCATTTTCCCGAGTGGGATTCGGGAAGTGCAGGGTGCTATTAGAAGATTCCAGTGTTCCAGTTGGTCCAGTCCAGCTGATTCCAACTGGTGTTCCTCTAACAGCATTGATGCAATCCAGGGAGTATGTGGAGCCAGGCAGGTCTAGCCACAACACCAGAGAATCAAACGCATCATCATGATTAATTTTGATGTACTGTACAAGTACATATAAAAGCCGTCATTAGGCATTGGCTTTCCATATCTTCTTAGGTGAGCTGAGCTACCCGTAAGTACATACGCTGTTTTATTCGGAACAGGTCCACCGTTTTGTATACCGGCATGTTCCGAATTGAACCCTTGTATCAACGGAACACCTCACCGAAAACGGGAATACGTACGTACCTAACGAAAAGTCAAAACATTTAGGCCAAGCATGCCGCTGTCACCGCCACTACAAACTTACTGTCTCTGGGCAGACAATCTACTAGAGATACAACAATTGGTGACAAGAACTCAGTTGCTATGGAAGCCATTGATTAGTTTGCTGTGGAAACAATGGAATGATCAATGTACTATGAAAGCACTGAGCAGTACTTTGCTGCCAGAAACACGTCGCGCAGACGTCACGCTGAAATCCACCATGGTGAGGACCAACAGCTTGGAAGTGCCCATTCACAAAGCATCCAAGCTTGCAGGACCGTGTACCCGCTGCTGGTGTCCCCAATGCTCTGGTCAAGTCGCGACACCGCCGCCGTGCTGGCAAGTCAACGTACAGACAAAGTCTACGTGCCAGTGTGAATCCAAATGTATGATGCTGCCTATAAGAATGATGTAGTCCACAGCTCTATCTCTACAACACAAGCATCTGCTTACCAAGCCTGACACAAACCAGTCAGGTTACGGCACTGAATTCTTCTTCAAAGGAGAAGACTAACATGGCACAGCAAACAAATACCTCTGTCACCAGCGTCATCAACGTCAACTCACCAGTAGCCAAGATTGGCAAACCACTCTCCACTATAGCAGGAGTTGGAATACCTGCACACAGCGCAGCACAAGACATAAACACACCGAAACTCACAAACACATTGAACTAGGCACAATGTTGAAACTGCTGTGAGTGTTGTGTCCTGGGATTGTGCACGTTCTTGTGGGGTTGGCATGAACATGTCACGACAGGATGCATAGAAGGTTACAGATTGAAACTGTGGCAATGGATGCAGGATAAACAGAATGCATTTCTCCGAGCCAAAGTGAGGCTGTGCTGTTTGAAACCTGATAAACAGAATGCATTTCTCCGAGCCAAAGTGAGGCTGTGCTGTTTGAAACCTGATAAACAGAATGCATTTCTCCGAGCCAAAGTGAGGCTGTGCTGTTTGAAACCTGATGACATGGAATACCTGCACTTTTAGGTTTGTCCAGTGATTGGCAATCATTCATTCAACTAACTGAGCAGGTGATAACCATGCTAGTACATCACTGGTAGTACATCACTGGTTGAACTACTTACGGAAGACTGTGACTGCAATGTCGGACCTTGCAAGTTGTGGCGGTATGGAGTTATCTGGCGTTGGGGTAGCGAGACATCTGAATGTGAAGTCGCCGGCACTGTATCCACCTTGAGATGTAGTGGTCCAGTCATTGGATACATTGAATACAGCCAATTGCGCCGTGGATAGGGCATTTCCATCCTGACTTCCACTTCCATTCACCCACTGTACCTCCAGTGGTAAATAGATGGAGTCAATCTGTGCATTGCATGTAAACATGTCACCGGCATCTCCCTCCGTTCGATACAGCTGTGTGCCAGCAGCAGGGACTGTTGTAATGTTTGGTACGCGATCTATAGCACCCAACAGAACATATACCAATAAAATCATTACTGTACACAGCTAAGCTGTACGGCAGTGAGCCACCGCTCAATGAGAAACAAGTAAGACAAAAAAAATTAATTTCAAAAAGTCCTACGAAGGACCGGCCGCAGGAAAGCGCTTGCCCACGGAAATCCATAGAGATTTACGTATAAAAGTAGCCCTCGCTCCCCAGCGCGTACGACATACGGATTTCATACATAATCAGGTTGAGGAAAACCTCCCTATTCTTGGTTTTTTTTTCAGATGCTCCCCTGCTGCCCGTGTTCATGACTAATCATACTGCTTCTCCGCCTTTTGCAGCTCTTTATCACATCTGCCTGCAATCCCGTGAGTGGTTTTATGATTTTACGCTATCGGTATTTTCTCTAGCACATTGCTGCGAGTGCGATGCCTTCCATGCACTCAGTTCTGGAAAACCACTACCATAGGCAGGGGCGTAGCTGGTCCCCTTTTATGGGGGGGGGGGGGGGGGAGGGGTGCACGGCCACATATGTGTAGGATGGCTGGTGCATGTCATTCGTGGTCATTATGTGCATGCTGAACCTAGGTCGAAAATGTTAAGGGGTGCACGTGCCCCCTCCCCCTCCTCCTCCCCCCCCCCCCCCCCCCCCCCGTGCCCCATGCGAGCCACGCGCTTGCCTAGTGCATAGGTGAGTGTGATATACTAGTAATCTCTGGTAGGCCACAACCTCACAACCCAGTGCTCACAACCCAGTGCTCACAACCCAGTGCACACAACCCAGTGCACACAACCCAGTGCTCACAACCCAGTGCTCACAACCCAGTGCTCACAACCCAGTGCTCACAACCCAGTGCTCACAACCCAGTGCTCACAACCCAGTGCTCACAACCCAGTGCTCACAACCCAGTGCTCACAACCCAGTGCTCACAACCCAGTGCTCACAACCCAGTGCTCACAACCCAGTGCTCACAACCCAGTGCTCACACAACCCAGTGCTCACACAACCCAGTGCTCACACAACCCAGTGCTCACAACCCAGTGTTACTTGAACAGTTAGTTCAGTCTACAGTCAGCAGTGGCTGTCAGTTCATGTAGAACATGCACAAGACAAACAACTTTGCATTCTTCACTTACGTGCTATGCCTCCATACAAGGAAATTTGGTCAAATCCACCACAAATAAGATCATCCACAACACCGGCTGGTCGGTTGCCATCGAGTGCAACAGACCCTAGGCAACCTGCACTTTGGCAGACAAATGTTGATAAACCAGAGGGGAAGTCGCGGAAACACCAGCATGAAGCAGAATCACCAACACCTCCCAGAGGGAAGCCCTTCAACAAACATTCTGTGATGCAGGTGCTGGGCTGTTGGGCTTCCAGCAGAGCACCGGCCCAGGATGAGGCTAGAACACCATCTCCCGATTGTTGAAGGGATTGTTGTAACTCTTCTGAAAATGCGAAGCAGTTACCATAGACGACGCTTGCAGGAGTGTAACCTAGAAGATGGCAACAAATAGAAAATCAATGGGTACAAGCGAACAAAGCCTTTTTCTACACTAACAAAAATCATCTAACGGTGGAAGAATGATGCTTTTTTATAGTTTAGTTGTATGTTTTAGCTGATGCTAGATGACTTTGTGTCCGCACATCACATGCCAAACCTGATGACAAGTGGCAACCTGCTGAAAGCGACAAGTGACCGCCTTTTCTTGTCCCCAAGTTGATTATCAACCCACAACTAGCAACCGCAATGTTCAAAGCTTCTTGTTTGAAGTTTCAATGACTCTCAGGTGAGCCACGCGTCCTCAAGACTGTATGGCTGTGGTTGTTATGGCATTATATGAAGAAAAAAAAACTATTGACCGTAGGTGACATCAACTTGTGACTCAAGAGCGCTCAAAGACCATTCCCTCCCCAGCTGCTCCTATTCAAAGATGGATCAATGAAGAATAGCACTGTGTACTGTTATAGGTAGACATTTCAATAATTCTCGAGCATGCTTCAAATATTTACGATAGTAATATGTTGTGCAAATACATAAAATCACTTACCTGACTTCGCCAGGTCTAGGTCACTCCGAGACACCTTTCTTGCATGGTATGATAATACTTCATGTTTACTAACATTAGTTATCTGCCTGCTGCAAGCGAAGGCTGTTGTTTACAAAGTCTTCGCTCATAATTTATTTGCATGTTGCTCACACGCAACCTTTCCCAAACTGAATTTGACGCATGCGCTCTGTGTACATCTCTAGAATAAAATTGTGTTCGCTGCTCTAAACGCCACTCTTTAGCGTACATCTAGAGATCTAAAGTCCGCATGCGCTGTACGCTAACTTTGCATCCGGTTGCACCAAACGCTTGGAGCGCATATAACCTGAGCTTGCTGTCATTTTCATTCATTCCGCTCGAGTCTAAGGACTCTCCAGTCTTCTACTATACTATGGTAAAGTAATGGATAAACCTATTACCCGTTGTGTTTTGTGAGTGCCGCTTAGTTCCTATCGTGTGCAGAACGTTGAATTACAACATGTATGTGTTCAATGGGTAAGTGCATTAATTTTGTACTGATGTGTATGTGTATGTGCATGTGCATGCATATGTGTTTGGATATGTGTCGTACATCTATAACTAGGAGTTAAACGACTGCGACTAATGTTAGATTCAATTCTATCCATGGTCACACACCCATGCACAAACAAACAGAAGCATATTATGAGCACATTGTAGGTTTCAATGTTCAAATGAACCCATGTGGAACGTGTTCTGCACTGCACTCGGCTGCGTGCTAAAGCAAAACGGATTCAGGGGCCAGGTGTACTTCACAATACATGGCCTGAACTTGCAGCACAAGTACATGAACTACATGTACTTGTGGGCATGTATACATAATATGTTTTAACATTATGTGCGAGTTGATAAGGGTTTCCTTCTATCGACTGAACCTTATCGACTGGCCAGTCGACTTATCCATTCAGCCGGTTCACCCCTATCTATAACACATGAGCATACGGGGAACACATAATCATGCAGGAACACATAGGAGAAAGGTGACATACTTGGTCGGTGGTAGTAAATGGCTACTGACTCCACAGTTGACGGACAAAGACTGTTTGGATCGGACGCGCAAGCAGAGCAATTAGAACCGTTGGTGAGCTCGGGGAGTATTGGAAATCCTGTCCAGGCAATGCCACAGGTACATCTGTACTGATTCTCATCCGTCAGGATCAGTCCAGACAATTGCCTTCCAATGGAGCGGCATTGTGCAGCACAGCGCACTCCTGTTGTTACATTGGGGCTCTGCTCTGGCAGGAACACTGCTGTTCTGTAGTCGTAGGAGCCCAGGGGAGCATCATCGCTGACTATGTTACTGAAATTGACCCCCACTGAGTTATAACAGCTGACGTAGTATGGTTCAGGTTGCTCTGGCTGGGCACCTGTAAGGATCACAGCCGCACAGCCTACTCTTAGGACAATTCTAACTGCGCCGGTGTTGTGCCACTTGCTACAGTGTGAGTTGCTTTGTACAATACACTACTAACTGCTACAACGCACTGCTACAACGCACTGCTACAACGCACTGCTACAATGCACTGCTACAATGCACTGGTACAATGCACTATTGCAATGTACTACTGCACTGTACTCAGGCTACAGTGGACTTGAGAACGGCGGTTTATTCACAAAGCCAATTAATTGCGTGAAACCATAAAAATAAGAACTAAACTACAATGTCCTACCATACTGACCAACCACCACAATCTCAATCCCTTGACAAGACATGCAGAATCCCTGGATTTCTCTCAAAATCCCTGGATGGCACAAAACAAGTGAAAAAGAGCTTTTCCCGCCCAAAAAACGTTCGACTCTGCAGCTGGGCGTACAGCACAGATCGACCCTGTACTGGGCTGTAGTGCAGTTTGATCAGTCGGCGACCGCCTGTCACTTTGTCAGTGCAGATATTGCATGGTCAGGTCTTCAAAGTGCTGTGCACAGTTCGAAGTGCGAATGAGCACCGTACAATGGTACATTATACTACATACCTTTGAAAAAAGTTCAAAAAACCGGGACATTCGGGGAGAAACAATGGAGTTTTCAGGAAAATCCTGTATCAGAAAAAACTTTGGTTTTTCCGGGAGTTTGCTTGAAATCCCCGGGACCCCGGGAGGAGTGTTGATTTTCCGGGATTTTCCCGGGAAAAACGGGAGGGTTGGCCAGTATGTCCTACTTGTATTACAATGTCCTACTACAGTGTTCTACAGTGATGCTCAATGAAATCCAGTACACAAGTTTGCACTCGAGTCACATGACTGGATTTCATTGAGCATCACTGTACACTGTACAATGTACTACTACCAGCATACAGTACAACTAATGCAATGTAGCAGTCTCCTTGGCAATTCTCAGAATTGTTGGTTTGAGCCCTCTGCATAGATTGCAGTCTGCACATACTGTCAGCATGTGAGTGCATTGTACTGTGGAGCCACCAAAGTAAAATAAATTCAATAAAATACAAAAAAAATACAATATGTGCCGACTGCATGCAGTCTACTACTGGTAGCAGTTGCAGGCAGGAATTCATGAACACACAGGATGATGCAAGGAATGGTTGGACACTTGGTTAATTCAATTTTGTGGTTTGTCTCCGAGTTTTGGACTTCATCATCTTCTTGAATGGAACCCTGTGACATCATGAATGTGTCCTTGGCATGCTCCCTGGAAATGTCATGATGCAGAGACCATGGTGCCAGGCCCCTTTAATGGTGCATTACAATAGTGTGTGGCTGAACCTCTAACAGTAACCTGCCCCTGCCCATGCCCCCGCACCCCCCCCCCCCCCCCCCCGCACCCCCAGGCAAACTATCCTGTACTGGTCCTGTTTCTAAGCAGTAGGACTGAGTAGCCATACTGCACTGGTCATAGATAGGGGTATTCATCCCGTGACTGAGTCAGCGTACAGACCACAGACCGTACAGCCATATCCTTTGTTGTTGATGAGTGCCAGTTGAATGGTAAACCGTGAAGGTATGGTACCTGCTGTGTCTCAGTTCACAGAATCGTTAGACCATTCACATGGAAATGACAGTATACATGATTGCACTGATCACGAGGAGGACATTATTAACACTACAACTACAAGTACAAGTATTCACAGCATGGGTCATTGGGTGTCCTACACACCAAACAGCTCTACATTACACTGTGGCCCAGTGTGCATTCCCTACATACCACTTCAGCTTGCTGGGTGTCCTTCTGCATTCTGCACTCTAGTTTGAGTACACTTTCAGAGTGGGCCAGACCCGGTGTCCGATCCACTGCTGTGTGCTGACTGCAGAACTATTCAGTATCTCCACAGTCTTCAGGCTAACTGATGTCACAGATTACTCATGCCTGGCACAATCAAACCAGACCACACCCTCACGTCAGGCATAGGAGTGCAGTTGTGCACATTATTATAATGACGATGCAAACTTATACACCCCCCCCCCCCCCCCCCCCTAATGTGTAACACTTCTACACTTTCTCATTGGGAGAGTGGGAAAGAGTGTCCACTTTCTGCCTAACCGAACTAATGTTACTTCCCATGAGAAGTACCTGTAGTGTCCATGCGCACAGTGTGAATGCTGCAATGATGCTAGGCACAACAAGTGCATGCATGGATGGCAGTGTGAGTACTAATGAACGCACAGATACAGCACACCAGGAGAAGTGCTACTTCAGACAGTGCAGTGGAACCAGATCCAGTGCAGCAACTAAGGCTAGAAGCAAGCATGCAGCCTAGTCAGGCAACCTGACAAGACAAATCAGCTGCCTGTTGGACAGTACCAGGACAACAACCATGCAGAGAGTTCTCCTCCGTACTGCCACCACTCACACCATGGGCCGGCCAGATCCTGCAGGAGTGGCATGACCACTAGGTTGCCTACAAGGCCCATCATTTCCCCCATGCCCAATTAAATGTCATCGCTTTGGGAGGATATGTCTCTAGCTCGATGCTGCATCATATCTGATTGGTTCAGCTATGCATTCTGCTAACAACAGATACACTGCTAGCACAGCACTGTCCCCACTATACAAGAAGAGCAGTTTAGGAGGGAGAGACTTTAGCGAGAATAGATTGTTACTGATTCTACCTCGTGATACTGATACTGGGCAGTCCATGAAAGCTGCTATAGGTAAAAAGTACTAACAACTGGTACGGCCTTGCCTTGGCCTTACCAGCCGTACCAATGACGTTCACCCTGCTACTGCACCTGACTCCACTGTGACTGCATGGTGCAGTAATTGTTACTAGTATTATTTTTATCGTTTGCCGTATCAGCGGCAGAGCAACCTCCCAGCAATGTCACAACACGATACCCCCCCCCCCCCCCCCCCCCCCTGTGACAGTAGCTCATGTCTCCCAACAAACTAAGCACCTGAAAGGTTGGTGCGAAAAAACATGTCAGCTCAAAGCATCACACAGAGCGGAACTGACAGCCGATGTTGACACACACATGTACGACCCTTCACATGTCTGTAAGTGTAAGTACATCGAAACCTTCCAGATCCTTGTGCAGTACTAGTGGTCAAGAGCAACCATGGGCTGTGAAAAGCCCCAAACCCTCACTATACATGGTAACCCCAGTGGGTTTGTTAAAGCAACAGTAACACGACCATCATCACTCCCAACTTCACAGCACTGTTCAAATGTACAAGAGTGATATTCGGAGATTGGATTGTAACCCAACACTGTGACGGCCAACAGACATTGTACATCTACATTACAGTACATTACAGTCTAAGGCAATATGGACCTACTTACAGCTCATGCCCGCAAGGAGAAGTAACATCCAAGTGCTGGCCGCGAAGAGCGTTTGCGGAGTACATCCTTTCACAGTCCAAGACGCCATTGTAGTTGCACAGAGACGGTATCTTGTCCACCAACCGTCCCAGAGTCCTGTTGGTCAACAACGCCACCACCACCAGCACCACTACCACCAGCAGCAGCAGCAGTCTTGAAACGGAACTCGGAGTGTTTTCGCTTGCTGGCTGACTGAGCCCAAGCCGTCTGTTTCGTTCTGTGTTACAAATTTAGGAGTTGTGCGATGATCGAGTCCTCGGGAATTTGGAGGCTACACTCTTGTTGATTGAATGTCCGGGAAGCCAACAGAGGTGCATGTTGAGCAGCGTATTGGGCTGCATTCTGTCTATGCTTGTTACTCCGTGGCGGCACGGAAAACTCGAGTCAGCGTGCGGCAGTGGGAGCATGGAACCGAGTGGTGTCCACAAGCTGCGAGACCGTGCCAGCACTCAAACACAGCCGCTCCTTCCACATTCACATGCTTTTTTGGTATTCGGGCGTCGCAGGAGGCCGATACGGCGAAGGTATTTTCGAAGCACTACTACTACTACTGTAGTGGTAGTTTTCCCGGCGCTCGGCCGAGTAAATTGATATAATGAACCCAAGCATCTGCCCAGGCTTTCCCACTGCTGCTAGGAGAAAGGGCCACAACAACGAAGAGGGCAATTCAATGCACCAGGCTGACAACCAATAGCTGGAAGATGAACAACTTGAGGTCCTTACCACACCTTGCGAATCAGCACTCGAAGCACTCGAAGCTGCTCCCGTCCTTAGAAGTTAGAGCTGATGATGAATGCTACATCGAATTCTACTCGACCATTCGATTCACTCGAAAGAGGCGTTTTCATTACGAAAACGTTAATGGACTCCACCAGCGCAGCAGCATTGCCCAATCACGGTAACTGCGCAAGCCAACGCTACCTCTTCGAAGACATAATGTATCATAAATACATCATAATAATAAATCATTATGGTCGGAGTGGTGCCAAGAAAATGAAAGGAACTAACTAATTACTAATTACTCCATGATGTTTGGGCTGAAACGGAACTGTTCAACACAGGGCCTTAGGAAACATACACATATACTAAACTCGCAACTAGTATTAGTACTTGCACACGGCGGCCCAGTACTATCCGAGGAGACTATTATTATCCATATATCCGCAGTGCAGTGGTTCACTGACCGGGATGTATCACACCCTAATTACGTCTCGGGCTCGCCATTTCCCGGTTCAACGTCACGCCCGAAACAACAGTCAACAGGCATACTGCCAAGGCCAAGACGGTTCTGTACTACATGATTGTACGAAAATAATGGTAAAGATTGCAAATAAAACACCTATACCCGGTACCCGTGATCATGTCATGGTGCAGCCGGTGATGAAACTACAAAACGTCTTGGCACACTCTCGCAGTCTCGGATCAGTAAGGTCATGTGCATTATGTCGTTTCGAGTAACGTGAGCATGAGCTGAGCTGGCTGGGCGGCAAAAGAGTTTGGGCAGCTACACTGCAGAGGTCGATGCGGGACTGGTCGACCGCGAAGCGTTGTGAGTCTGGGACGACAGCTACACTACTACTACTAGTACTAAGTAGATCTAGCCTACGTCTACCAGGTCTACAGTCAGTTGCCTATCACCAAGACGGCAAGAGTCGTGAAAAATGTACTCTTGCTAGCACCATGATCACGGTCTAGTCATGTGCGAGTTGTACCGACAATACAGTAACCATGGCAGTGTCAGGTAAATCTACATGTATGACAGTCATGTACTATGAATATGATCAAGTTTATCTACTCTTGATATGATGTAGTTCTTGTTGCTTCTTGACATCTTGTATTTTTTTTTAAATTGTTTGCGTTACCAGGGAGTTTGTACGATTCCCTGTTACCATGGTTACATGTTGCAGTGCTGTCGGCCCGGAGTGCTGTCGGAGTGCTGTCGCGTTGTTAGTTGCCGTAGCCTGTATACATACATAGATAGGAGCTAGGGTTACCATGGTTACAGGATCGAGGAACTGGAACTTGAAGTGGAAGAAGAAACTAGCTTCAATTCAACACTTGTCAGCGAGGACATGTGCTGCGCCATCACCATGATCGCAGTGGAGAGACCTCCTTTCCAAGTTCCTGGTGGAAGCTCTGGAGGCTTTAGCCCTTCTTTACTTGCCTTGGTCGCTAGATCGAGCCGCGGTACTACTGCAGTCATGTACAAGGAACGACATCACGTGTACTGTGTGTACGAGTACAGTAAAACCTGTAACTAACGACCACCGTGACTAGCGACCGGCCTGGTACTACCGACCACTTTGTCAGGCACGGACGGTCTCACATTCAAAATGCACTGTGACTAGCGACTACCTGCTGAACGCGACCAGCGACCGCCTTTTCTTGTCCCAATGTCGAATTTTGACCCGTAACTAGCGACCGCGATGTAGCAAATCAAACATTGCTTGAAGCTCCTTCTCGAAATTTTGATGATTTTCCATGGTCGTTTCGATACTACAGCTGGACAAATGAGCGCAGTCTCATTTTTACTGTGGAATCAGTGTGGACTGCACTACACCTGTCATAATTTCAAGTGCTTTCAAGAACAAACATGATAGGTGTTGCAGTTAGACTGGATCATGGTGCAGCATGCTGGCTGTTAGAGTACAATCATTCATGCGTGATATGGATAGGCGAATGTGTTAGAGCTATGATCCATGTGTGCTTCTATTCATGCATTCCCAGCAAGAAGGCCATGTGTCAGGTCTATTCAGTACTCTGGTGTCTAGACGTCTGCATTCTATTGTTGTATCACATTACATGGTCGAGTGTTGCCATAGGGTCTTTCTATACCATGTATGTGCGTGCACTGTTATTAGCTATTGCTATCTTTTGTTAGGCCAGAGTTGGTTTTAGCCTAGTTGTGGAGATGTTCAGGTTTTAGTTCTTGGAGAGTTGTGACTGTTTTCAGATCATGAGTCAGTGTAAACATTGTGTCCTGGAGATCTTTGTGTGTGGATAATCCCGGTTCCGGGGAGAAACGGAATATCTGGTCCTTCGAGCCGGATCTGGAAATAGTCATCATGGAAGGTGAAGATAGGAGTACGCGCAGAAGTGCGCGGTCAACGAGAGGTGTAGCACCTCCCCGTTTGGGTTTTGAAGAAGAGCGCTCGATGCGCAGTAGTAGGAGATCAGGAGGAGGACAGTCCCGATCTTCATACGAGACTCAGCGTCGAGTTCTGGAAGCAGAAAAGAGGCTCCTGGAGAAGGAGCTTGAGCTCGTGAGGTTAGCTCAAGACGAAGCGTCGTCAAGTGGCCAAGGGGCCAAAGGATCGTCCTCTCCCAAGATGGCCTCCGAAGTCTTCGCAGAGGAGCTCATAGAAGGCCATGAAGCTGATGCAGCCGTTGACGCTGGCCAAGGAGATGAGGCTAGTATGGGTGAAGTAGAAGTTGCGCACCTGCCAGAACATGCAGTGGCTGTTTCTCACGATCCAGAGCCGCACGCAGTGCCGAGTCCCAGTGTAGCCGGAACTGTCAGTGCCCACACAAGCAGGAGTTTGCCTGTGGCGGTGAGGACTGAGTCTGAGGTCGCACGTGCGTCGACGAATACGGAGCAGGCCAATCTGTCAGGGTTGCGAGTGCAACAAGAGTTTGTGCTGAAAGAGAAGCGCTATCAGCGGGAACTGAGCGAAGCTCAATCAATAGCGGACGCCGAGCAGCGACGTGTAGCGAAATTGAACAAGGATCTTGCGAGCGCTCGTGCAGACCTGTCATCGCTGCAGGCGGAAAATAGGCGAGTCACGCAGGAAAAAGAGGTGTGCGAAGCTGAGCGGGATGTATCGGAAAGGGAACTGCGCGAGCTGCAGCCGCATCTCGAGCGCCTGGAAAGAGAACACCAGGAGGGGCGCAGGTGTTTGGAAGATCTCCGCGATCAGAATGACCGCTTGCTGACGCGAGCCGAGCAGGTTTCAGCAGAGCAACACGCGCAGCGAGCTGAACTGCTCGACAAGCTCGAACGCCTTCGCGCGGAGAACGCCAGCCTGCAACAGCGGGCGGATCGAGGCGGAGGCCGAGGGTCGGATGAGCAGCGAACACAGCGAGCGGAGTTGCTAGTTCAGCTGGACCAGCTTCGCGGAGAAAATGATCGCCTGCGGAGGCGTGCGGACCACGACCAGTACACCGCACAGTGTTCTAGTGCGCAGCAACAGGAGCTACGCAGTCGGATTCAGAGCGATCAAGAGCCGGAGGAGATAGTGAAGACGCACCAAGCAGCTGGTTCCACGGTCAAAGGCCTTCAGCAGGATGGACGTGGGCAAGCAGATGAGGGTCTGCAAAGCCAGCTATCAAGGCTCACCGCGCGACAAGCCAAGATCAACACCGACTTGCCAGCGTTCTCGGGTGCAGCAGAAGAGTGGCCAGCATTCCACCACATGTTTCAGTCTACGACCAAGCAATGTGGCTTCACGGAGGCTGAAAACATTCAGAGATTGCGGGTCTGCCTAAAAGGTCCTGCAAAAGAGGCAGTAAGAATGCTCCTCAACGTGCCAGAGAACCTGCCGAAAGTTCTCTCAACGCTGGAAAGGAGGTTCGGGCGGCCAGAACTAGTAGTCACGGAGCTCGTATCGAAGGCGAAATCAGCTAAGCCGGTACGCAGTGACGATGTAGAGACCTTGGTGTCGTACAGCACCTCGGTTAAGAATGTAGTGTTATGTATGAAGCTGCTTGGTAGCTGTGGACATATGTCCAACCCTACCCTCCGACAGGAGCTAGTGAATAAGCTGCCAGTTGCACTGAAGATGCAGTGGGGCGAATACTTGGCGGAGAAAAGGATCCAGATGGATTCCCTCGACCTGGAGGTCTTCGCAGACTGGCTAGAAAATCGAGCAGAGGCTGCGCTGAATGTGGCCGGGCCGTTTGCCAAAGCGGCCCCTCGAGCAAGTAATGCAACAGCTATGCACACCACAGGTGGTCCAGCCAGCACAACTAAGCCAGTGTTGCAGTGCGCCAAGTGTGGTAAAGCGCACTCCCTCACCAGCTGTGATGTCTTCCGCCAACTGTCAGTGAAGCAGCGGTGGGACTTCGTGCTTGGAACATCGCTATGTGTGTGCTGCTTCAAGACAGGCCACTGGAAGTCCGAATGCAGAGGCAGTGGTTGCAACAAGTGCCGAGGCAGACACCACCCTGACCTCCACCAAGAGCGCGCACCTCCGGCCAACCAAGGCTCAACGAGCAGGAGCACAAAGCCACGAGAGAATGTGGTTCCGCAACACAGCACGAATACGTCGGTGGCAACCACGCAGAAGACCGCTTTTATGGTAGTCCCTGTCGTGTTATGCCATCAGGACAAGACGGTGCGGGCCACAGCCATGATGGACAGCGGTTCTTCAACAACATACCTGAAAGACAGTGTGGCAAACGACCTCGGGCTGCAGGGAACACCAA